GTCACATGGGCAGCAAGCCACTCCCACAAAGGAGGCCACACCCACAGAGCAGGTTCGAACAATTTTTGAAATCCACCACTGGTTTCTCCCCACATCTCAGAAATAAAAGTTCCTCAGGTGAGGATTTCAGATAAGTTCTAAAGACATTTCATTTGTATGGCAATGAACATTTCTGGTTAGTTGTAAAGGTAAAGGTTCCCCTTGCACATATGTGCTAGTCGTTCCTGACTCCAGGGGGCGGTGCTCATCTCTGTTTCAAAGCCGAAGAGCCAGCGCTGTCCAAAGACGTTTCCGTGGTCATGTGGCCAGCATGACTAAACCAGAGGTGGGTTCCTCCCAGTACGGTATGGTATGCTAGAAGAGGTAGTGAAAATTTGGTGGACCGGACTGGACCAGTAATAATGGCAGTTCTCCCATCAGAAGCTTCATCAGAAGCTTTTTTAAAAAGCCTTTTTTCCCTGTCGGTTCAGGTAAGGGAAAAAAGGCTTTAAAAAGTAGAAAGAGACAAAGAGAAAGAGACAGATGAAGGGAGGGAAGGAGGGAGGGAAGGGAAGGGAAGGGAAAGGAGAAAGAAAGTGAGAGAGAGAGAGAGGAAGGAAGGAAGGAAGGAAGGAAGGAAGGAAGGAAGGAAGGAAGGAAGGAAGGAAGGAAGGAAGAGGTGTTAGAACAAAACTCACTTTTCAGCCGGGAGATTTAGCAAAGGAGAAAAACAAATGCTGTCGCTTTAAGTCTCCAAACTGAGCATGCCTGGCTGTGGAAGTCTGGGAGTTGAAGTCCACAAGTCTTAATGCTGCAAACTTTGGAGACTCCTGCTTTAAATTGAAAAGCTCCTTAGAAGGAGGATTGCAAAGTGACATTCAGTAATTTGTTTCTGGGTCAGCTGAACAACAAACTGGATAAAAGGAAGGATTCTTATATGGTTCTATGTTATTGAAGTTTTGGGATTTGTGCAATATGGCTTTGTGTTTGGATGATTCCCTGATAGTGTGAATGGAACCAAACTTTCTATAGGCTCATTATCTCATTATCTCTATCTGGCAGGAATGTGGAATGAGCCTCAGGCAGGTTTCTTTATTAGCAGCTTGATTTTGCCTTTTCTGGGAGCCTTTTCTTATGAGTAATATTTTATTGGGGGGGGTTGCTTCCCACAGAGGGAAAGGAGAAAGAAAGAAAGAAAGAAAGAAAGAAAGAAAGAAAGAAAGAAAGAAAGAAAGAAAGAAAGAAAGAAAGAAAGAAAAATAGCACAGAAATTTAGGGCTAGAAGGCTACTCAGAGTTCATCTAGTCCAACTCCCTGCTGCAGTAGGAAACCTTACATTCTCTGGATTATTTTAGTGCCTCTAACAGAGAGGAAAATTGCCAGAAAGGAGAAGGCGTTTACTAGGACAAGGCTGCCATGCAGTGGAAGGCTAGTCCTTGATTTATGACTACAATTGAGCCCAAAATGTTGGTTGTTAAGCAAGAACATTGTTAAGTGAGCTTCACCACATTTTACAAGTTGGTCACACCCACCCAGTCACATGACTGCCAAGCCATGCCCACAAAATAGGCCATNCTGCACCCTAACCACTGCGCCACCTCGGCTCATTGATGTGGACCTCAATGAAATTGAGTTTGACACCCCTGCCTATAGGGTTCTTTTTTGCAAGAAATAAGTATATATACACATCATGTATTATGTGTTTCTTTTAATGTTGTACGCCGCCCTGAGTCCTTGGGAGAAGGGCGGCATATAAATCTAATAAACCTAAACCTAATGATAAAAAATGGCCAACACAAAAAACAGTTCACATGGCACAGAGGTTTATTCAGTTATGTGTTACAGGATCCCCAAATCAGACAGACAAAATTCAAATGATTCCCAGAGCAGAGTAACAAGGATGCATTGAACTTTGCTTTTGGGGTATTTTTTTGTGGTTAATACAGTACATCACTTTAGCCGGATACAATGGCAAATTAAACTAGACTGCTGGAGGCATCTATGTGGGACTGTAAATAGCTTCCCAATTAGTCCGTAAACAATGGAGGAAGGCTTGAACATTGCTAGAAATGTTGCAGCTATGCCCAAGATCTCACATTAACATCTGCCTAGAATGGACTCCTGCAGCATTTTTATTTAGGCAAATACTTGAGAATTGTATCGACAGCTTCTGCCAGGTTGTTCACATAAAGGTCGGCTTTGACTTCTGGATGCTGCTCATCACAAGGTCTGCAAAGGGGGATAAAAGCACAAAACAGCGAGAGGATGAATTGGGGCACGCAAACAATAGCGAGTTGCACAATTTCATTTCCGCGGAGTCTAATTTCCTAGTGTTACTTCACACGGTGCCTTCTGTCTCTTTTAGCCATGAGTCAATGTTTAAACAAAGATGTAATGAACATGGCCCACAGCAAATTTTGAACTTTATCTCCCCCCCGCCACTCCCACCCCAGCTTTGTGATGTGTTTGTCCGTGCACTTATTGTAGGGGTTGCTTACCCCTAGAGCCGAGGTGGCGCAGTGGTTAAATGCAGCACTGCAGGCTACTTGGGTAAAATGGTGGGTAAAATGAGGACCCGGATTGTTGTTGTGGGCAATATGCTGANTCCGGGTCCACTGGTGGAACCTCTTCTAACCGGTTCGGTAGATTTGACGAACTGGTTCTACCGAAGAGGTGCAAACTGGTAGGAACCCACCTCTGGTACCAACAGTTATTTTATTTAGTGTATTGCAGCACCCAGGACCTCTAGTTGCTTCTAGCAAATACTATCGCCTACAATGTGTATCTCCAGACATAATATTTTCCAAGCCAATTTTGTGTGGCAGCAAAACCAGCACAAAATGGTGATGTGTTTGGATACTAACATGAGGACTTTTATTCAATCAATTGATTCCCCAGCTCAAGTCTTTCAGCTGAGTTTTGACTCAGGAAATCTGTTGCCACCCCACATATGCCTTTTCCCATGGAGTTAATGTTATTCCTTGGAAAAAGGAGTGTTTTGGAGGAAAAAATGCAGAATAAAAATATTTTTGGTAAAATAAAAGACTAAAAAACATGTTTAAGAAGCATTGAACCATGAAAATGCCTATGAGAAAACAATTTAAGGAACATAAATATGAAAATATGCAGATGTTAGAGTGACCTCTCACATTGAGTAAACAGTTGTCAAAAAAGGATTTGATAATGACTAATCAGATTCTTTTTTTCATTAGCATCTGTTAACATTGTGCACTGAAAGGAATAGTGAATATTTACAAATTGTTTTGGCATTAACTATCAGTGTACCCATGTGTTTCATACAACGCAATGTTTCAAATCAAAAATGTCCTTTCAATAGCACATAAACATATATGAATAGATGTGGTAGTTGTCAGATCAGTTAAAGCTAAGATTCAGCTTAGTAACAGATAAACGTTATAAAACACTTCCGCACAGGAATTAGTATATCATTTATAGTAACACATGTATAGCTAATGCTTTCTCTTCCAATTTGGGCAACATCTAGTCGTATCTATAAATGAAGCATAAAACCAACGTTGATCACATCCACTTTTTTTCAACTTTTATGACTCTGGAGAGTTTTGAATTCTAGGTAAACCTTCTAAAATACTGTTATGGTGTGGCACCAAATCAAAAATGTTTCTGTGGTAACAGATCCAAACAAGAATATATGTATTTATGCAGGAAAGAGATCTGGTTACAACAGCTTAGTATTGATAGTGCAAACTGAACAATTTTGCAAAGATATTTGTGTAGATTTAGGGGTGCTCAACCTTGGAAACTTTAAGACCTGTCGACTTCAACTCCCAGCATTCTCCAGACAGACAGCCATCATCAGAGAGACTTAAATATTTTGCTAAGTTAAAACAATATAGAAAACTCTACAAAAGTACATTTTCTCTGCTCTGCCCTGCTCTTATCAAGCCCCCAACTATTGCAAGTCTATCTCATTATTTTTAGATTTGCAAAGATACTTTTGATGAAGAATTTGGAAGCCACCAAGTGAAATTCCAAGTAATAATTAACATTGATTAATGTCTTAATTCCTTTACTTTATGGAATATTATAAATGGAAATGTCAATCCATACCCAGCAAAGAAAGACTGTCACTGCAAAACACATGGCCTCATGAAGCCTGGGATCTTGAATGCCAGTTTGATGAGAAGCCAATTGTGTATTGGGTATGATTCACAACCAGGTTGTAATTAAATTTGACAGAACAATTCATGTAATTAGATGGTGTTAAGAGGGGATTTATTTTTAATTGTGAAGGACTTGATCTGAAGGAGAGGTGGCTTTAAGTAGAAGGATATGCCTTTGTGCCTNTTTTTTTTTTTTTTCAAAATAGGCTAATTTGCCGCCTAGAGAGTCAACAGGTCCATCTCTTGATGGGAATGGCATTTGGTAATATAAATAAGCTTTTTTTTTTTTTTGCTGTTGGCTGATATAAATTGCACCTCCGCTATCCTTATCAAAGGAGCAAAAAGTGGAGATTATCATTATGATTTGAATTCATTTTCTGTCTTTCTTTTTAGATCACCTATTCATAGATCTTACAGAATCTCACAAATCAAATTTCTCATGCTATATGTAAAGTCATAATTCCAAGAATCACAGTGGTTTGTTATGATTTACTAAAAACACACACACACACACACACACACACACACACACACAAACACCAATAATATGAAAAGAAAGCACAGTGGATTTTCATCCATATTAGTAAAAGAGATCTGTGCTTATTAAGAGGCCTCCTGATACAAATCAAACATACAGGTATCATTCGCAATCCGCTCTTCCCCATCTTCACCTGGACCAGATTTAATGGGTTGGATGCACTCTTTGACTGCTAGTTCATGGTTGCAAGAAGAGGGCAGAGGCTTTGTCTAGAAAAGTAAAAATATTGAGAACATTTTTGCACTCTTGATATTTTAGTGAAATCTCAAGGAATAATGAAATTAAATTGGTGATACTATAACCTGTGAAGAACTGCTGATTTCAGGTAATATGGTTTAATATGGGGGAGAGAGAGATAATTTAGTTGTTGGCATCTGAAAAGGGATCATGGCTCTTATCTGGGGTGAAGTCTCTCAAACCTGCGTTTTGCACCATTTCTCGTCCTTGATATATAGTCTATCACATTCATCAGTAGAAAAAAAAATTAAAGATAAATCTCGTTTTTCAGCCATTACTCAGTATTTAGGTATTTTCATCAAGTGAAAAAATAGAAATAATATAGAGTATATACAGCATTGTGTTACTTCTATCTTAGGTGAACAGCAGTAGCCCAATAGTTTGAGCCCACATGGCACATGTCAGATTACAGATGACACTTTCTGCCACTGCTACCATGGGAGATAACCATGAATATAATAACGAAGAGAAAAATAAAAGACATCCAACAGAAACCCCACTTCCCTGTTTCCTTAATTTGCCGTAGAAGAAATTAAACCTAGTACAAAATGCAACCAAATCTTGAAAAGTGTATTATTGTCAAAAAGGAAAAGGAAAAATTGAGTGCATCATTCAGCATTTCCATTGACTTATGTCACATCGGACCCTGCTGTATATGAGCATTGGCAAGCCTAGCTTTAGATTCTAAAAGATACCTCCACTAGTTTCCTTATATTCCCCTTCCTTTTTAATAACCCCCCAAAAGTCTTGATTAATGTTTCTTCACCTCAGTAATTTAAAGAAGACTTTCCCATCCATCGTGCTGGGATTGAAGTCCATGCATCTTCAAATTGCTGAGGTTGAGAAATTCTTGTCTGGGGCAAATAGCTCTGTTTTATTTTAGGATTGGTTTGCATTGACTTTATGATGGTTTAGTGTTTCACTGCAGAAACAGTTTACACCGCCTGACTTATGATAGTTACATTAAGTCCTGTGAGAAAGATGTCATCACTCACTTCCTGTTGTGGTTATTTATAGATTTTTCTCACCCTTTCGTTTGATGCCCACCCTGATTTTGCTAGCCTCATTCTCTGCTTTCAGTTCTGCAGTGTATTAAATCATATTACATGTAGCATCCCCAAATTCACTAGCCATTTTAATACGCATCTTCCAAAGACGGTGCAAATAATCAAGCAGAACCAGGCTTCTGTTTCCAAACACTGGAAATTCTGCTCAGCCACAGCTCCGGATTCTTTTTTCTTCAAAGTACATCTAGTTTATTTCTAGAAACAAATGAATGTGCACAGGTGTGTGTGCGTGCGTGCATGTGGTGTGGCTTTTGTAAAATAAGTCTTGATATTCAGGAGGCTAAACTTTGCGCTCAGCATAAAAACCCAGGAAACCACAGCCATGCTAAATGAATCTTCACACAAATGTGACAGAAATGTCCTCGGCTAAACTTGGTGCAGTTTTGACTTGATTGTCAAGATATCTAAAGTAACAGAAGGTTTTATTCAATTGCAACACCAAGCCATGCTTTAGTAAAGGCAAAACAAGCCTTCATTGTCAAAGGATGCAAATTGCCAAAAATAGTGTTTGCATTTCTCTTCTAAAATAAGATTATAATCCACGATCAACCTATTGCTTACAATTGTTATTTGGTTGGCAAGCATAAATCATAGTTTGCAGATTATGAAACAATGGTTTCAAGATACATTATGAAGGAGAATGGAATTCAGTTTTCCTTATGAATTGAGTGGTGGTTGCATTTTATATTTCATTCTAAGGAAACTTGATCACATAGCTATATAAACAGGGACAGATGAATCACAATAGATAATGAGAAGAGTTTTAGACCGCAACTATTCAGTTGATTTTTCCATTATATTGCTGGAACATGTGTTTAACCACCATGATGTTCAATGCATATTTTAAAATAGCCTTTCTCACTTGAGTATCCTCTAATACATTGTGATTATAATCCCATGAATTCACAGCAGGCTTAGTTTAAATTATGTGGGTGGCAAAGGCTTGGCGTTTTGCTATAACAAAAGTAATACAAAATGCTGTTTTGCGATCCTAATATTGACTTGACACTCCAATAGTTTATCTTCCACCTCTTAACTTCTTTCATTGGGCATCCAACCATGATAATTTAGCACGTAATGACACAATCAAGTTATTCAGTTATGAATGAAATCCAGTTTATGAAAGGAAAAAGAAGAGGTTATTTCTTTAAAATGGTATCCTAGTTTTAAGTTTTCCCATAATGGCATTAATCCGAACGGCATCTAAAATCACAGAAGATCTCATCTAAGCTAAAGCTTTACAATTCCTCATTTAAACTTTCATAGTAAGCTTTATTTCTTCACATGTTCATTTTTTATTATTTTCCCTCTGAAGCTTATGTGACGTATAAGCCATATGTGGATGTGTGTATGCGCAATAACAGATACGCAAGTGAAAATAAAAATAGTACTAAGCTGGAATATCTATTTACATTTTGGTGCCACGGAGTAACTTGTTGGTCTTTATGAAAAGGATCCATTTTCATGCTTGCAAAATCTGTGTTAACATAGAAAAGTTATAAGGGGCAAGTTTTCATAGATTTGAGTTGGAATTGGGGTTTGTTTTGTTATGATAATTTGGTCTGAATTGATTAATTTTAGATCTCACTGGGTTATCAGGATCACGAGAGATCTGGAAGTCTTCCTTCTGTCTCTCTCTCGTAAAACTTTTGTCCCTTCCCCATCAATTTTATCAGGTAATGGTAGTGGCTGTAATTAGGTAGCAATGTTATTATGAACACTGAATGTTAGGAGCTCAGAGAAAATCTCTTACCTTGGCAATAGTATCAATTCCACTGCTCCAGGTAAATGTGTCTGGATTCGTCATGGGCACCGAGCTCCTAAAAATTGTACTTATACCAACATTCTGTAATTCCTGTAGCTCTTGGGGGGTTTTTTGCCCCACAAAAAGATATATTCCAGTCCTTCCATCCGTTTTTGGTGTAAGGATAAAACAGTGGTTGGTGTGTATGTGTCCAGCTGACTTTAAGACAAATCCCAGCTTTGAATTGATATTGATCATCTGAAAGTTAAGATTACCATTTTCCGCGCAAGGCAAAATTACCCACTTTCAGACTTCAGGCTCCATTAGTACTGCTAAAGTTGATCCTTCCTGATCAAAAGAAAGCTTATACGGCAGGGGTGTCAAACTCACGGGGTCACGTTGTCGTCACGTGGCATATCACGACTTCTCCCCCCCCCTTCGCTAAAATAAGGGAGGGCGTGGGCAGCGCGTGATGCATTTGGCCAGCGGGCCGCAAGTTTGAGACCTTTTCTAAGGCACACTGGGAGGAAGATGCTTGGCGATTACGGACACCGAAAAGAAAATTGTGTTTTTCTTTTTCCTGAAGTTTGCTGCGCTACAAAAGTGTTAAGATAGTTTAGTGTGCTGCTTTAGGGACAGGAGCTTCTGCAGCCTGAACACAAAGCCCTTCGCAACACCACGCCAAGGAAATCATATTTTCTTCTTGAGGATTTCTTCCTACATGGAAGAACCTGGAGAAAGAGTAGGTGAAATGAATGGCAGAGGGGTTGGATAATACAGTATTTTGTGATAAAGGAGAAAGAATAAAATATATCATTTTTAACCATACAAGTTGCTGAGGACAGCACCAGAGTCAAATGGTGCTATAAAATTTGCCTTTGTTCAAGGGATATCCAATAATTAAATACATTCATGCTGACTAACGAAGCCTGTTGTTTTATCAACTGGATGTCACTATGAGCAAAAATCATAATGGCAAATGAATCATCTTTAATTATTGATATGAACAGAGTGCAGCCTGTAGGGCGTGATGTGCAAGTATGCATATCATGTTATTAGATATAGGTTTTGGTTATATAACATCTGGACAACCAATCAGGTGGCTTATGGCTTACTCAAAGAGCATTCTCAATGCAAATTTTGAATAATAGATTTGATATTCAGGCTATACATGTGTACCATCAGAGATCTGTTGAGCAATGCTTGAAAATTCCTACCATGGCATAATGGAACAAGCACTCAAATGGATCATTACTTAGGCTATTAACAATGTCGCATATGGCACATTGATCCATATTTCTGTTCCTGTTTTTTTCTTTGGGAAAAAAATAGCACGCTGTGCAAATATAACACGCTGCGTTTAGCTGTGGTACTGTTAAAATAATTGCAATTTTTGGATCAGATCCATATCATGATTGTAGTTGTATATATATATATATATATTTACATCAAAGTAACTGAGTTTGGTGTGACTTACTTCTGAGTAAATGTGTAGGGTTGTGCAGTAAGTTACCGAAGACTCATTAATTTCAGTAAGTGGTATCTTCATTTCATTTAATCTGGATCCAACCCACTGGATTTATTTTCCATTTTATTGCATGGTTCGGTCAAAATTCTCCCCACCAACTTGAATTACATTGATTTTTTTTTTAACTAAACATGTCCTATCCTCAGAGAAATGGTTACCCCCGTCTGCCGTGCACAAACATAGCATGTTCTTTGCTATCACATTTTCACTTGGAATTAATGATTGCTAATCATAGCATTTTGATGTGGGCTTGCCAACAAGGGAGTACATCTTATGCCATTAACCTTATGCTTTTTTGAGATAGTGTTATCCGCTTTTACTTAACATACATCTTGATTAATGAGAGTTTGCTTTGTCTTTAGTGCTGTAGAGGCAGCCTTTTCTTATTTGGGGTTTTCGTGCATAAGGGCTTTCTAAAAACAAAAAAGGGCTACAAGCTATGAGAAGCTAAGTACACGGAGTAGGAAAGTGCCCTCCCCCCCCCCAGGATCACTACCCAACTCGCCTAGCTGTAGCTTAATTTATATAGCTGCAAACTTTCTTCGCCTTAGCAATGATGCTTCACTAGCAAATGGCCTTACGGTGAACACATCTGCATACTTAACAATATAGCGTTTGCCTAAGATTAATCCCAGGTGGCGTTTCATTGGATTGCATTGGGTTTTGGTGGTGTTGTATGATTTTATGTATTGAAACCGAGTCTTTAAAGCCTTACTTTTTTTTTTTTTAAATAGAAGCAAAATGTTATGGGATGTAAGGATATGTGTGTATACGTATGTATGGGTGTATATATAGAGGGAGACCTATGTGCATATAAGTACATTGACACAAAATGTAGACATCTGAAATATAAGTTTATGTTTACGGAAAATACTTTTGATGATAACATACAGGGGTGCTGTTCAGAAAAAAAATAATGATGTTCAGCTGCATCTATGCTTGGTCATATCCACTGAAAAAAAAAATCCTTTGGATTCCTCTGCTGGGGATCCTATGCTCCTGCCGGATTGGTTAGTTTACTGGCGTGGCACGACAAAACCGCGCTCGACTAAAGCGCGCCCGATTAAACCGCGTCGCTGATGTCATCAACAGGGCGACAACAGCAAGCCGATTCAATTCAAGGTAAGGGTTAGGGTTAGGGTTAGGGTTAGGTTAAGGGTTAGGGTTAGGGTTAGGTTAAGGGTTAGGG